TATGGAGGAACTTTGTAATTGATATTTACACTGAAATGTGTAAAGGACATTAATCCGTGTATCATTCGTTCATTCGTTCTTTGATTTAATATTGAAAGTAGAAAAATGAGAAAACGGCTCCTTGTTCGTTTTTTCGTTTTTTTTTTCCCCAAAAAAACAAAAAAATGAGAATTCAACTTAAATTTTCGTTTTTCGTTCAGGGGTAGTGAATAAACAGCTTAAATATTCGATTTCTACACGTGAGCGGGAATTAAACACCCCTTTCTGCTGATTGGTCAGCCGAAGATCAAACCAGTCAGCCGTCATCAGTTCTTCCACAGTATCACGCAGCAGAATAATAGTCCTCCACTGCTGCAGTTTTACGGATTAATAACCCATTTTATCAATTTCATATTTTTCATCAAACAAACAGGCTAATGAATAGCTCGACACAACTCCAAACGGGGCAGAGTCTAGACAGGGTTTTTTTCTGTGTAGATATAAATTCTATTCTTTGCATCAGCTGGGTATGGCAGTTACTGTTTACCCAGTAATTCTGTTTGTTTAATTAAGTAATTAATTAATTAATTTGTTTCAAAATAAATATTTTAAACACTAAAACAAAAAGGAAAGAATAATAAATTGGCTTGGGTATATATAGGCCTACAATGTTCACGCAATAACTGTCATTTTGACTGACAACCAGAGAACAACATATATTAAATAGCCTACTGTTAGAGTTTTATAATGTAGTCTTGTGTTTTATTAAAATTGATTATAATTGATATCTCAAAAGGATATGCACTTGTGCGCGGCGTAAACTGCTGTGCACTCGCACTGCAACGCAATATTTTAATAAAATATAATAACTTGCCATTTCGGTTCGTTTCTCACCAAACCCTCAGTATAACTTCAGAATGCTTGGAATATACGCTACGAGATGCATAGGATTATTTTACGACAGATATGCATCCGCTTCAAAAAAAAAAAAAAAACTAAAGTCACCATTGTCTGCCTTTAAATTGGCAAGTGCGAGCAGGACATTTTTGTGTTATTAAGTAATAAGCCTTTAGAACAACACTGAGGTGAGTAGTCACTCTAGTTCACACAGTTCCAATAAATTGCGATGGGTTAAATAAACTCAATAAGCAGACAGACGCGACTACATTCAAGCACAGACCAGTATTGAAGTGCACAGGAAATAAGCAGCAGTCATATTTAAAGCAGTTTAAATTAATATTGAGTACTGATTGATGTTCACAAAATGTATTTTTATTTGTGTAACGTTACGTTCAAAATAACTACAAAATGCCTTAAAGAACAATTAAAAATAAAGAGAACAACAGAATGCACTGCTTTAGCGCATCTCGGTCTCCTTGAGCATCTTTCTGGCGCATGCCACAAACATGAACCACAGCGAATACTTGTCTTTTAAAAGGCTTAATTTAGATTATCTGACGTTAAATGCATCGTATATGTCACTTTGGAATAAATCACAGTAGGCCTATGTATCACGATAAAAAAAGCGACTTACAGTCTGGAAATACTTTTGGCTATAGCTAATTATTTCGCGGAACCACTATCACATTAAGAACCGCTGGTCTACACAGAAAAAAAAGCCCTGTCTAGACTCTGCCCTGGTACGAGTTGTGTCGAACTATTCATTAGTCTGTTTGATGATAAAAATATGAAATGTAGTTGCAATAAAATGGGTAATTAATCCATACAACTGCAGCAGCAGAGGACTATTATTCTGCTGCTTGATACTGCGGAAGAAATGACGGTTAGATCTTCGGCTGACCAACCAGCAGAAAGGGGCGTTTAATTCCCGCCCACGTGTAGAAATCAAATATTCAAGCTGTTTATTCATTTTTCTACCCCTGAGCGAAAAACGAAAATTTAAGCTGAATTCTCTTTTTTCAATTTTTGGAAAACAAAAACGAAAAAACGAAAAAGGAGCCGTTTTCTCATTTTTCTACTTTAAATATTAAATCAAAAAACGAATGATCGAATGATACACGGATTGAAATAATACGGCTATTTTACGTTTTTATTTGTTTTTCCAGTTTTCGCGGTGTCTTTTACACATGCGCAATGAACAGCCGGGCAATAAGCCTGTCATCATCTCTGGTACACTACCGAAAGACCCACAATGGCCTCACTCGAGTCATACATGCCAGCAATTTATGATATGTTTATGAATGGTGTGACATATCGAGAGATGTCTGAAAGGCTGCGAGAAATGGGTGTCCAGCGGGGAAACTCTGAGATCAGTATCCGGAGACAACTTGCCAATCATAATCTGCGGAGAAAAGGACACTCCTCTGATTCAGACCTTGAAATTGCAGTCTCTCGAGCAATACATCAGGTATGAATAATGAATAAGTAATAGAAAAAAAAATGCTATACTATTTACTGTAGCTTGTGTGTGTATGTGTGTGTTAACAGACTGGATCAACTTATGGCCGTAAAATGATGACAGGCTTCCTGTCATCAGTTGGGGTCCGTGCAGGGGAATGCCGAATCGGACGCGTTCTGAGAGCAGCCCATGCCCCTTACCATGAAGAACGGCGTAAAGTATGTTATAAAGTAATTAAGTTTCATGCTTTTACAAGGGTTTATAAGTGTAACAATTTGTATGCCCGCACGTGTATTCCTATGTGGACCAAAGGTATTCATATATTTTCTTGCTTACCTTGTATAGGGTACCCGTAACTTTAACCCAAACCCATATAATGCAGAATACATGGGACACAAGCTACACATGGACCAAAATGAAAAATTGGTCATGTTTGGAGTGACTCACGTAATTGCTGTGGATGGATACAGCAAGAAAATTGTTGCAAATGCAATTATGTCTACAAAAAACAATCTAGCTATCTATGATGCTGTGTACAGGTCAGTATTGCATATTAAGTTTAAAATAAAATATTTTAATTGTCATAGAAAAAATTATATCATATATGTTTATGTAGACCTGCAGTAACACATTATGGAATGTGGGATCAGCTTCGTGTGGATCATGGCAAAGAGTTTTACCTCTGTCTGTACATGCAAGAGAGGCTGTCAGAATATAGACACAACCAGCAGAGAGCACCATACCTACAAACTTGGTCAACAAGGGTAAGGTTATTAGTCTGCAAGCCATCAAATTATGCATACACCAGTCATGAAAAGTAATATATTAGGCAAATGATTGCTTTTAAGTAAAAGTTTGAGGTTCCTGTACTTATATGTTCTGCTACTTGATACTCCACCGCAGTATGAGTAATGACAAACTAATAGAAAATATAACTGCTCTTGAAAACTGGCCAACGTGACATTTTAGAACTTCCAGTACATTTATCAGAAAATACTTACTGTACAGTTTTATGATTTATGACGGTGTATTTCAACATCATGATGTTGGTGCTTTTACTGAATGGGTCTGAGTATTTCTTCCATCACACACACCATTACTCTCTTTAATTGTTTGTTTCTCTAGTTTCCAAATGTGTAAGTTTCCCTGTTCCAACCTTTTATTATTATTACTACAGAATCACACTGTGGAAAGGATGTGGCCAGAAATCAACAACCGGATAAATTACCCACTAAAAGAGGCCCTGGTACAGCTACAAGATCAGGAAGCAATTGATATGGAGGACAGCCTGACGAGGTTCTGCACATCCAATCTGACTGGCCAGGTGTGCCAGATTGGAATGAATAGATTTGTGCATTCATGGAATGCTCACAGGATCCCAGGTATGTTATTCTATGCTCCCAGCTTTAGTCAGAGATGCTCACAGAATTGGATGTTCATAGTGAGATGGACCCAGGCTATTCTACAAACATATACTATATAGGTTCTAGAAGCGATGTACCATTAAACATAAAGACTTGTTTGTATTGATACAGGGAGAGGGATACCAAATCAGCTGGCTGGGACAGGAACACCAAGAAAAATCACAGCAGATCTTCTACCAGATGCCACGGTAGCAGCTGACATGTATGACAGCGACATGGGATCATCTCTTACCAGAATATCTTCTTTTGGAAGTGACCCCTTTCTGTCTGAGATAGACAAAGTGAGAGCAGAACAGCACTTTTCACATAATTACCCCGACCTTGCAGTTCTTTTTGACAGTGTTGCCAATTACAACTATGTCCCATTCAAAGAGGCTTTGATCTACCTGATTAATGTAACAAAGAGATTTTCCTAATTTCATATGTCCTGGGTCATGTGGAACCTTGTCATAAATTGAGGGATAGCCTCACTATGATGGAATGCAAATTTTAGCACTTATGTTCTGTTTAAGTATACATACTGTAAATATGGACTCCAATGTTATGCAGTCACTACTCTGTAACAGGGAACAAGTATTAAATGTATCTTGTTACTATGAAAACAATTAATACATTTTTTTAAATCCACTTTGATATTGTCATTGCATTAATTGCACAGTATACACAGGACTGTTTTTGGAAAAATATATTTAAGAACCAATGAGAGCTTAAAGATGAAACAGACTAAATGTAAACAAGTTACGTCCACCTTTGAAAATCTTAACATAAGATTTAAACAATCTTAACATCAGTGTGGAGTGAGCTCAGAACAACAAAGCAATGTAAAACAACATCTTGCCAAACGTTATCTCTATTATAATATCCCTGTGAGTTCAGAACAAAGCAGCAATATAACACAACATACTGCCACATTTTTACTCTTAGAAATTTCTGTGAGCTCAGAACAAAGCAATATAAAACATATAGCCTTATTTTCTAATGCTTATAAAATTCCTGAGTTGACTAATATGCAACATAAAACACCCTCAAAAGCATTTCTCATGAACTAATACTGTGAAAAGATGGATTAAGTGACAAGAACACATGCAGCGTTTACTCGTGTGCCAATCCTCTAACAACATTCACTAGTTCAGTAAAGCCAATAACCATGTGAATGTTGGTGGAAAAATCATCTGTTCGACACTTCAAACACAGTGAAGAATTCTGAAGCCACAAAGTAGTGCAGGATCTGCATCCAACTAAGCTTTCACAGCATGCTGCGAATACCGGATCTTCCATGAATCCTGACAGTGGAGAAAACAAATATAATTCAGGTCTAAAACTGCAATACAAGACAACAGCCAGATCTGTGGGAGTTGATTCTTTCTGTGTTTCCAGATTCTCCAAGCACAAACATAAATGTCAATGTTATATGTTAATAATGTTTTATATAGTACTGTGAAAAAGTGAAAAGTGACGTGACATACAGCCAAGTATGGTGACCCATACCCGGAATTCGTGCGCTGCATTTAACCCATCCAAAGTGCACACACACAGCAGTGAACACACCCAGGGCCCAATGTGTGTATGAAGGCTGAATTTTTAAATTCCATACAAAGACAAGACTGACCTCTGCAAACTAGACAAGTGAAGATATCCCTCACATTCCTGGACTGTTCTTCAGTCAGTACCAATGTTGTCTCCCTGTTTTGATGGACCAGGTCAGACAGTTCCTGGATGGCAGTGGTCACCTCAGATAAACCCTGAGCAGCCAGGACAACCTCCTCGACTTTCTCCAATACACTGTCCAGTCCCCCTTCATCATCTCTGCGTCTATGAAACAGAAATATTGAATTTATATATTCATTTTTTTATATATAAATGTTATATTTTTAAGCATACATAGGTAACTAGGACTGCATTTGGTATAGTAATAGCAAAGAAAACACTTATAACCATGACTTTTTCCATATGTTGCATCAGATCAGCTTTGCTCATTTAAGGCCATTCTTTGCCTTTTACAGCACTGATGTCAGGAGGGAAATTAAGGAAGCATAACAAGTCACTGACAAACTGACTTACGAGATTCTCCGCCTCTTCTGTTTCATAGCTTGGAAATCAGCCTCCAATACAGCCATGATTTTTCGTGAGTTTTGTTTCCAGTAAAAGGACCCTAAATAAGTACACAAAATGTATAATGATTGAATAAGAGCTAATTTGTGAGACTGACATGTGAATGCATAATAATTTAGCAACAAAAGTTTGACAACTTTACTTGGTTACATGGCAAATAAAAGTAAATAAGGTAAATAAAGGTAAATAAAAGTTTTCAACTGAAGCACCTCTTGTTCCTTCGGAGTCTAGTATTTCAACTGCATTGTGGTCTGTCAAAATGACTGGGTCATTAATTCCTAGGGCATCTTTCACTTTTGCAGTCATAATTGGTACAGTGGCCTCTTGCTCTGTGAATTTTATCACCACCATTCTGCTGGTGACAAGTTTCCCACTTTGAAACTCCCCCAGGCTGACCGTCCTGGGATTCATAACAGCTTCATTTAGAGTTTTGCACAATGACGAACATTGTGTACATATAAGAAAAAATATTTTATTTGAAAAGATGGATTAAGTGACAAGAACACATGCAGCGTTTACTCGTTTGCCAATCCTCTAACAACATTCACTAGTTCAGTAAAGCCAATAACCATGTGAATGTTGGTGGAAAAATCATCTGTTCGACACTTCAAACACAGTGAAGAATTCTGAAGCCACAAAGTAGTGCAGGATCTGCATCCAACTAAGCTTTCACAGCATGCTGCGAATACCGGATCTTCCATGAATCCTGACAGTGGAGAAAAAAATATATATTTCAGGTCTAAAACTGCAATAACAAGACAACAGCCAGATCTGTGGGAGTGAATTCTTTCTGTGTTTCCAGATTCTCCAAGCACAAACATAAATGTCAATGTTATATGTTAATAATGTTTTATATAGTACTGTGAAAAAGTGAAAAGTGACGTGACATACAGCCAAGTATGGTGACCCATACCCGGAATTCGTGCGCTGCATTTAACCCATCCAAAGTGCACACACACAGCAGTGAACACACCCAGGGCCCAATGTGTGTATGAAGGCTGAATTTTTAAATTCCATACAAAGACAAGACTGACCTCTGCAAACTAGACAAGTGAAGATATCCCTCACATTCCTGGACTGTTGTCAGTACCAATGTTGTCTTCCTGTTTTGATGGACCAGTTCAGACAGTTCCTGGATGGCAGTGGTCACCTCAGATAAACCCTGAGCAGCCAGGACAACCTCCTCGACTTTCTCCAATACACTGTCCAGTCCCCCTTCATCATCTCTGCGTCTATGAAACAGAAATATGAATTCATATATTCGTTTTTTTATATATAAATGTTATATTTTTAAGCATGCATAGGTAACTAGGACTGCATTTGGTATAGTAATAGCAAAGAAAACACTTATAACCATGACTTTTTCCATATGTTGCATCAGATCAGCTTTGCTCATTTAAGGCCATTCTTTGCCTTTTACAGCACTGATGTCAGGAGGGAAATTAACTGCAGCCACTATGCGCGTGCAGCTCCAAGTGACATAACTGTGACGTCTACTCTAAATTGGTCTATTGTGTGTGGGTTCCCCGACATACCTGGAATATTTTCCACCATCATGTCCTCCTCCCTCAATGTGACTCTTTTAGCCGAAGTAAACAGCACAAATGATAATGATAAATTCAGATCCATTTCGTCGCAATATGTTGCCTCCTAGTTCAACTTAGGCTACCTGTAACCACGCGGTTGAGTAGCAAGCATTCATTGCGCATGTGCAAAGCGGTAAGACACCGCGAAAACTGGAAAAATAAATAATAGCCGTATTATTTCGTTTAGGTTTTTCCTGTTTATTGGATTTTTGGTTTTGAGCTGAAATGCGGGAAAAAGACATCAGCTGACATTTTTTGGTTCATACAGAAAAACCGAAAAACGAAATATCGACCTGTTTTGCCCATTTTTCTTTTTCCAGAGTATGTGGAATAATTGACTGATCAGATGATACACAATCCGTGTATCATTTGATCATTCGTTTTTTTAATTAATATTGAAAATAGAAAAATGAGAAAACGGCTCCTATTTCGTTTTTTTTGTTTTTTTCCAAAAAACGAAAAATGAGAATTCAGCTAAAAATATTCGTTTTTCGTTCATGGGTGGAAAAATGAATAAACAGCT